AAAAAAAAAAAAAAAAAAAAAAAAAAAAAAAAAAAAAAAAAAAAAAAAAAAAAAAACCTCCATCAACAAATGAAAACCACAAAGTAACACTCACCAGCACACGATAAGTCGTTGAGATTAGATTCGATCTGAGAAGGCCAAAAACAGAGGCCAAATCTGGAGCAACGAGCTCCCATTGCAACAAACCAAAAATCAGATGGAGAAACCCCAACGAATCAAAGTTAAACCAAACCACGAACTCCTCAATCTTCCAATCCACAACCACGCAACTTCCTCCCTAGTCAATCACACAGATTTTGAAGAAAAAAAGTGATGGCAAAAAAGGCGAGCAGCAGCAAGTAGGGAAGAAGTTGAAGTAGAGTTGCTTGGGGAATCGAGAAAGTAGAGATCAAGAAGAAGAAGGAAGAGGATTGAAGCGATTTTTTTGCTCCGATCCAAAGCCTGTGTTACCTTCTTCACTTTCTTGCAGCCTCATCATTCCGCTTCATCACACTGCTTTTTTAGTTTTCTCTTCTCTCTCACTCCACTCAATCTGTTTCTCTCTCTTGTTCTTCAGCTGCGAGTTGTTGGAGCCGCGTAAGATGCACCTCTAAGCGCCAAATTATAAATAATACGAAATGGGGAGTGGTGAAACCGTCGCAATCTTCATGTCCGCGCGTGGGGTAATGTTTTTTTCTTTTTTTTCTTTTTTTTTTACATAATTTTTTTTTCCAATAGTTATATATTAAATGTTATTAAAAAAAATTTGTAAAAACTTATTTTAGAATATTATTATAATTTTTTTAAAAAAAATATGGACAATTTAACGCTTCTTTTTTTTATAATTATTAAGTTAAGTTATACAAAAATACCACAATTTTTAATTATTTACTTATACTTTAAAAAAATTATTTGCTGTAAAAATTGATGTGATTTTTTCAATTATATTATAGAAAATTAAATTAGTTACAATTTATTTTATCAAAAAATATATTGTTAAAATAATTTACGTAATCAATTGTTTTCATAGATTTAAAGTCAATGATTAATGGTAAATAATTATTTTGTACATTAAATATTAACCAAATAAATTTCAGGTATAACAAAACCATTTGGATTTTTTTTATTTTTAAAAAAAAGTTATATTTGTATAATTTTAACATTATTTTTTTCCTTTTTGATTTAATTTTACTATTAATATTTTCCAGTGGTATTAAATTAATAAATAAATAAATGTGAGTCAAAAGTTGAATTTTGGGTTTTTAATTTATTTTGTCACCAAATTTCATGCTATTTTTTTATTTTATTTTCGACTTTCGAAAAGTGTTTTGTTTTAATATTATAAAATTTGCATAAATACCGGTTGGACTTTCTTATATTTGGCTGTCTAAATAAGTTTAATAAAAGGTATTTTTCTATATTAAGTTTACGTTAAATATTTTATATAAAAATATTAAAACGTCCTAGTATGTTTTAAAATATTTTAATGGAAATAGTTAACGTTTTGTTTCAAAAATATATTTAAATTGGGACGGTTAATACTTTATTTCAAATATATACTTTAAAACTAATAAATAAAAAAATTAATTAAAAAAAATACTATTTTAAAAAAATAATAATTTAAATTAATTAATGAAACTTTTAAAAGTTTATTTATATTTTTTAATTTTTTATATATTAAAGAAACTATGAAAATATTTGAAATTACAATGATATTTTATATTTAAGTTAAAAAATATTATCGAAACTCGGGCGTAAAATTTTGTTCCTTCCTATTATTAATTTTGGCTCGACCCTCTGTATTTTATTGAAAAAAAAGTAAATATATTTATAACTAATTTTACTATGACAATCATCATTGAACCATACAATATTTGGCATGAACAAAAAATGTAGAATATTTAATAATTTAAACAAAGGAATTTCATGATTTAATAAATTTTAAATGCATTGGGCAATACTTTAGCATGTTGGCAAACATATCTCCAACTCATTTATTATTATATGTATATATATAATAAAAATATAAAAATATAAATATAAGAACCAAACTAGATTTAGTCCTGTACAAACCCAACAGTAATCTCTCCATGTGTATAAAATAAAACCCATTCCCTACAAAAGAAAAACATCTTTAATTAATCATTATCCCAAAAAGAGACCCATCTTTGACTGATTATTGAAACCACTCGGCCTTTTGTAACAATCAAAGTCCACCGCTAGGAAGCAGACATTGTCTTCTTCTAACTTTCCCTTTCGAGCTTCCCTTCAAAAATTTTAAAATACGTTTTCTAAGGAAAGGTTTCCACACTCTTATAAAAAATGTTTCGTTCTCTTTTTCAACTAATATGAGATCTCACAATTCACCCCCTTTGGGACCCAACGTCCTTGCTGGCACACTGCCTCTTGTTCACCTCCCTTCGAGACTCAGCCTCTTCGTTGGCACATCGTCTGGTGTTTGGCTTTAATACCATTTGTAACATACACAAAATCTTGAGGAGCTGTCTACAAGAGAAAGTCAAGAGAGGACAATATCTGCTAATGGTGAACTTAGATAATTACATCTTTGTGTTTTTGTTTTTGCTATCAATGAGTGCAACACACACAAGGGGAGGGGGGAAATGATGAAGCCCACATGGAAAAAATGGGTAAACAAAGCAAGATACAACTTTAGAAGGCAAATTCACTCCCAGCATTAAACAAAACATTACTCTGCACAGGCCACAGCAGAAGAGAATGGGGATACTCTGCTTGCCCACTTACCAACATTATACAGAGCAAAAAGGCTTTGAATTCCTCAACTGGGGAACAGTGAGAGCTAAGATTAGCTACTTCTTGTTCTTCATCATCAATGTACCACGTTTTGTGTCTCCTTTTATTCAAAGCTGCAAAATTAGTCACCAAAGCAAAGGGTACACCCAATCAAGTGCAAATTCACAAATTAGAGAACACATGCATGGGTAGGTGTGGTGTGGCCTTCTTTTTTTTTTCCTTTTTCTTGTTCATGATGCATTTTGGAGAAACCAACCAGGCTTTTCGGCTTCTGCATGTACCAAACGACAAAAGCAATGCAAGAATAGACATTTCAGAGAGAGGGGGGGGACAGATCTTTTGATGTTTATGTCTACATATTCGGCTCCCCTTCATTGAGTTTATGAACCTGCAAACTCACTTACAGATGTAGGGGAAGCTGTTGGTTTCATTATCTCCTAAGCCATATTTGAGTTCAACAACACGTGAATAGCCTAAGTTTACAAATCCACCGATAGTAGATATTGCCCTCTTTGGGCTTTTCATTTCAAACTTCCCCTCAAGTATTTTAAAACACGTCTATTAGGGAGAGATTTTACACCCTTATAAGGAATGTTTCGTTCCCCTCTCCAACCGACGTAGGATATCACAGTTTGTGTATAACATAAATGTTTGGTATGATAATCTCAGATGTTATATTTTGAGGTCAACAAGAAAAGAGAGATCTAAACTTATGACCTCTTGATCAGGACGTATGTTCGACTAGTTGAGTTATGCTCATAGACTATGGACCTACAAATATATTATAAATCACAAACTAAATACATATTACACAAACAAGTTCATACAACTCATATCCCTCCACAGTTCAAATATGAGCTACATAAATGCAAACTTTCAATTGTACATTACACAAATACAGATCTGTTAAAATTGCAAGTCAAACAACACCCTATCCCTAAGGGGCATGTCAGAAGAAAAACATGGAGCTAGTACTGGAAGAAAGCCTAAGAATAGTAGCGCGATGTAACAGGTGGGTTATACCAATTCCATGCTTCAAAGTTCAATGGAAAGGGAATATGCCCAAAAAAAGAAGCTAAAAGGCAGGATGATCGGGGGTAGAACTCAAGTGGGGCATCTCAGACAAGAAAGACCACTAAACAGAGCATCGTGGGCCTATGCCAGACCTGGCTGCCTAAAGGAGGCAACATGACACATGCAGCCTTCTTCATTCGCTATTTAAAATAGAGGGGAAAATTGACGACTCCATTCAAAGATTAGGGACGAAAAAGATTAATATCAGAAGTTCTGTTATTCCCTATTTGACAATGTAATGTATCACACTCTCATCCACACATTTCTATTGAATTTTGTTTGAGATAAGGACGGAATGTGGTGTGTGGCAATGAACATGATGATGAGAACATTGTGTGATAGTAACAGATTTTGAGAACTTGTGATGTATAAGGATAGCTAAATGGAAAGATCTTCTATTGTCTAATGAAACTTGAGTGTGAGTTATTGAACCCTCGAGTCATTGTCATCATCAAAGTCGATGGCTTAAAGGACGTTTTCAAAAGGTTTATCGTTTGGTTGAGAATAATATTTTGCTAGTCGAGCTTGACTCAAGTTGGCAAGGGAACAATAATTTTGATGTTCTCATACTAACCAAAACAAAATTTACAGTCTACTTGTGTATATGCACACTTAGATGGATGTTGATTGAGTCCCTTGAAAGTACATACACTATTTTTTTCTCTATGGTTAACAAAAAATATTAGAAGCTACAAAGACCTTCGGCTCTTGTATAGATTGACTGCCAAAGAAGAACAGAGCATTTTAAAGACAAAAGGTTATTCAGGTTCCAGATCTATCTATGAGAGGCCCCGATCAACAAGAGTAAAAATTGATTGCCGGGCCTGGAAATGTATACCTGATATCATTTACACATCGAACGAAGTCCAAACTTCCAGCTAGATCCTTCCAAAAGGAGAAAGTGGCGGACAAGTTATATGTTCTGCAGGAGCTTCTCTTTCAGGAGGATTAGGAGTCAACAATCTATCATTATCCATTAACTTTGACTTTCCTGAAGTCTTAGATTCAAATAAGATACTTGCTTCTGGAAGTTGACGTGAGTTCCTACAATCTATCATTGCCAGACAAATGGAGAATGCTTGCAGAAGCGATAAAGAAGAATCAAACTCAACTGAGTATATCATATCTTTGAAAGTAGCCAGGCTCAGGACGCAATGGTTTTCTGGTACTCCTTCCTGTGAGTGAGCAAGGGATCAAAAAGATGAATCTAAGTAAAATGCAAATGACCAAAATAACGAGCTCTCATATTAGCTTGGAAAAATCAAATATTTATACCTGAGGTAAAAGCTTAAACTGGTCTGTTATTGGAGAAGGTTGTGATGAACTTGATTTCCCGATTATTTGATTCTGATTGGCAAAAACTCTGAGTTTACAACCTAAATCCCAACCCCCACAGTCGCACGATCCACCAGAATTCCAACGTTCTATTAGGGATGAAGGTCCACCTTTACTCGGGAGGCTATGCATACCACCTGGAAGTAACACTGTTGCACTGATAAAGGACTCACTGCCAGCAGGAAGCTGAAGCTGTGCGCTACCCTCAGACGAGTTGTTGTAAGAACTCAGTTTAACCTCATCGGTAATGGTGCCTTGCTTGATTTTGGGGGGAATTTTGACAATTATAGCAGCTAGCTCTTCATTTGGTAGAAAATCTGAGGTCTGGTGATCTGCCTGTCTCAAGTCCACAGAAAATAAGACAAACTCTCTGGTAGAGGGCTCATCTGGTCGGGTCAAGAGGGAAAGCTCTGAATCAGAAACCTTCATTTGTGCAATGACATTGGAGATGTAATCACGACCTTTCCCCTTACTAACTTGATTTATCCAACTTCCAGTCTTTCTTTTAACTTCCTGAACAGTAAAGAAAGTGTAAGTATGGCTAACTGCCCCTTTTCTGGAGCTGGTTAACTTCACCGTAGCTGCAAGAATGTTGGAGACATTGTCGACTGCCAAGGTGAACAGAGGCAAGCCATTCTTAAATGTTACTTGTAGAAGAGCACGAACGTCAGAAGGTTCATGCTTCTTGTCCACTGCTGAATCATTGACACTGATTTTCCTGCATCTGCTCATGTCTAGCTTAAGTTTCCTTAATTGTACTGCTGATGAATCTGCCGGTCGATTATATTTTTTATCAGCCATGCTATTTAAGTCTTTCTCTATAGGTTCCACAGCATGATGGTATACTGCAGCCTTTGGCTTTAGTAAAGGATCCAGCAACCTTCTAAGAGGACTGGAACTGGCTCTGCCTGTATTGCTGGGTTTCTCATTCCTCAAATCATTCAAGCAAGCTGAAGGCATAGCATTCTCTGATCCAGATTGGACTGCTATATGTGCTGAACTTTGATCGCTAGCGCATGAGTTCCCTGCAGAACTGTAACTTTTACATCTCCTACCCATGCCAATGCTTAATCGACTAAAGGGTGAAGAGCTTCTTCCTTTAACAACAGCAACTGTGCTTGCTTTCACATCCAACCCAATAGATGCCTCCTTGACCATTGAATTTAAAGGTGCAACAACAGATGTTTTTTCTTCAGATATTCTACCTTTGGACGGACTACACCCTGCTCTAACTGAACTGGATACAGGGCGAGAATTATTGCGTGCATTTATGGAGCAATTGTGCTTTTGCAGAAACTGGTTCCCGTTAATTATACAGTGTGTATTGCTTGCGTTTGAGAGATCATCTTTGAGCTTTGCAGGCAAACTCACCGTAGACCTCTTCAGTAATCTCTTCTGACTTCTTTCTTTGGACCTATGACTTAATAAGAATGTTGAATCAGAAAACTCATGGACTTCTGAATCATTGTTTTTCAGTAAGCTGCTGGGTGAAGCGACACTTGCTTCAGGTTTTTCCAAGACATCATGCTGATGTACAGAATCTTTTTGTGATCGAGACGTCTCTACTCCAATAAAATCCCCACATTGAGAAGATGCAACCTCATAGCATACGGCACCTGGCGGAGGTTTACATTCTTGGAGAACTTTTGTCTCTGAACCTGTCTTCTCAGATTGTTTTATCTTTACTTCCCTATCAGCTTTAAAGGAATGCTGGCTACTTTTTATGGACTTTCCTAGGCAACTTAAGGTGTTACTATGGACAAATTTAAGATCTTGGCCTTTTTCATTTGTTTCTCCAAAGGATCTAACAAATTGGGAATGAGGAGAAGCTAGCAGATGAGAATAGAGTGAAGGACGATGTATTCTTTGACGAGGAGAAGAGATGTGATCATAGCCAAAATGGGGAGATGGGCAATCAGATGAAGAGGATGGAGATCCATTACTTCTACTTGATAATTGTTTGTGGCCATGCTGCCATTTTTCTAGACGCCCCCAGTCAAGAACCCCTACACTAAGAACTTTCTCCCGAACGTGTTCACCACGTTCTAGATAGCAGGGTAAATTTGACATGTATCTTATAATTTCCTCCTTCTTGGTCATCTTTCCTGAAATTACATCCTTCTGATGATTTCTAGAAGCCTTACAAGGGCTATCATTGACTTCGCCATATGTAAAGCTATGTCTTTCCTTTTTGAAAGGCTCATGTAGCTTTATACTTTGGCTAGCATGGCACAGTGAAATTCGCCTTGAGGTATCCAAGGGTCGTTGATCATGATAATTTCTTTTAGTCTCAACTTGTTCCATGTAACCATATAGGTTCACTAAGTTCCAGTTGTATTTGCAGTGTTTCTACTTGCTTTGGGTATATCTCATTACAGGAAAGATTCCAAGCCTTCAATACTAGATGAAAATAGAAGATCACCAAAGAGCAAGCCGCTCTGTAATGACAAAAGAAGAGTGCATATAATCATTGATAATACATAGTTCTACAAACAAATAAATCATTAGAACAGAAACGAAATCGAACAGTTCTGCGGTCCATTCAAACACTTTTGAGAAGCTAAAGATAAGATGCTAAACAGATCAGTCTCAATCGATTACGATAATGGAGGCATTATCAATATAAGGGACAAAGGTCCCCAGCTACCGAAGAGGCAGAGCAGATTCTCAGTTTATCAATAACTCTCCTCATGAATGATTGGAAAGAAAATAGAAAACTCCGATGATAACAAATTCGAAGCATATTCTAAAAAACTACACAGAATATAAACATTCCAAAACTCCAAACCTTTCTCTAAATGCAATTAGCCGAAACAAAATAGCAATTACAAAGAAATAGGCCAAACCTTCAACTCGTAGCACAAAAATCTTCTCAGGCTCAAACCAAACAAGCTAGTTTCCAGTTAACGCATGCAGCACGACACACCAACCAAATCTAAACCACTGAAACCGCCATTGGAGGTACCAAAATCAACTGATAGTCATAGAATATGGTGTCGGTGCTCGTTCCTATCACACTCCACGTCTTGAAATCAAGAACAGTAGCTCGGAGTGCGGAATCTCCGAGGATCTAATGCTTTTGGGTTTACTTTCCAGTCAAAACTCGGATGAAGAACAGAGAGAACATTAACGGAAAAGAAAAAAAAAAGTTCTGAAGGCGCAACAACCAAGAACCATAGAGGGCTTTGGGTTTGGCTATGGTTTGGGCGTTCGAGTTCTTGACTGGCTGGGACTGGTCTGGATGGTGAGGTAGTTATACTGTGAGAGCGAAATGAAAGAAGAGCTCGCATCGTTTTCATCTGATCGCTCCAAAGAAGATGACATAAAATCTGGGTCCCACTCCCTCCACTTTTTTCTCTTTTTTTTTTTTAATAATTTTTCCTCTATTTCCCATAAATTCTCTTTTAATATTTATAAATTTTTTTCGTTAAATTATACCTTTTAAAAAGTCTAAATTAATAAAAATAATTATTTAAAAAATGTCTTTAAATTTTTAATAGTTTCGAGTATAAAATCCCCATAAACAATTGGTTAAAAAATAGTCTTAATTTTCATTCGTATTTTAAAAATATTTTTTAATTCTAAAAATTTCATTAATATCCTTCCATCCTTTCATAACAATATCTGTAAAATTTTAAAAATAATATTAACACTTTTAAAATTTATAATAAAAAAAAATTAAAAAATCCATATTTCTTAAATAATTATTTTTTAAATAGGTTATTATAAAGGCATTTTTTTTAATTTTTTTTTCTTTTTTAAGTTAAATATTAATAAAACTTTAAAAGTTTAATTTAACAAATTAATGGTAATATTTTTTAAGTTTATAATATTTTAGAGAAGGTGGGGAGTTAATTTTTTATTAGATTTACTTTTTAACCAATAATTTTTTTGAAAGAATATAAATATTAGCTCATAATTTTTTAATTATAATTTTTTTTATGAACTTCAAATAATTCAATTTATTATATTAAGTCGATTTAAATTTTTAATCTTCGATTAAAAACATATATTTTACCTAATTAGACAAAAAAAAAAGTAGTATATAAATCTATTTTACTTTATTTATTTTTTATTTTATTTTATTTTATTTTATTTATTATTATTATTATTTTATTTTTTTTTTGTAAAAAGAAAAACAAGAAAAATTCAATTTTAATCATTTAATGACAGTGTCACACTAAAGAAAATCATTAATAAATGACGATCCAATTTCATGTATTGACCCATAATCATTCATCTAACTTTTACGTCTACTTTCAATTGGTGGGGCCCATCCTAAGGGTAATTTTCCTCTACAATCATGTCTTACGTCTGCTTTTGTGGAGTTTTTAGCCATCTGCTTCTGTGATTCTCTGATCCCCTAATAAATGACCTTCATCATGACGTGGCATCGATCAGACCGTTTACGCGGTTACTCTTTAGCCGATGCTATCATCGGGAGCCGCACACCTTATATTGTCCTCTTCTGTAAACACGCAGTTATAAATATATATATATATATCCAAAATAAAAATCCCTTTCAATTATTTCACAAATACGATAATGGTTTAATTAAATTATTTTTTTGCAATTTCGAAATACATTTTAATTATTTTAATTAGATTTTTAAAAAATAAAAATAATGTAAAAGTAAAGACATAAATAAAAAAAACTATAGCTTTTTTTTAATTATAGAAACTACATTATTAACTAATTTTCTAATCACATGATAATATTTTTAATTTAACTTAATAATAATTATAGCAATGAAACTATAGATTATTTTACTATTTAATTAAAAAAAATTAAATTCAAAATTTTAATTCTATTTGGATTTCAAATTATATTTTTCAATATGGAATATATATATATCATGTTTTTAATTTTGTAATTATGCAAAAAGGAATATACACTTTTGAGACCACATTTTTTACATCAAAGTTGCAGCTTTATTTTTTATATTTTATTTGTTTGGAGATCTTAAATAAATAAAAATAAAGAATTTAAAGGTGAATATTTTGTTACATTCCCTTACTTTATTCACTTTTCTTTCCCAAATAACTTACCTTTTTTTGTTTCCAGTAAAAAAAGTTTAACCATAGTCAACAAATGTAAGAATACTCTCACTCATCCAACTTTTACAGAAATGGTAACTCTCATAACCCCTTCTTTTAAAAAGCGTGGAAAGCTTTATAATATGTTACAAGTTTCTTGAAAAATGGACTAATCAGTTAAATATTGTAAAGACTCGATATTTATTATTGGTCAAAATTTGACCTCTATAATCAATCGAGGCCTTAAGAGATGGTAATTTACCCGGTGTTGGATGTCAACCGTTCGAAAAAAATAATAATTTGAGTGGTATGAAGTTTGAATGCAATCTCGAGATATTCAATCGATCGACTTTTTGGGTATTGACCAGTAGCATATATAAGTTCGGTCGAGTTTATTCACACAATTTTAGTAAATAATTTGAATGTAATTTTAAAAAGATTTATTCGTTTCATTTTATTTAAGAGCATTTTTGTCGTTTAGTATCGAGAACTTTATACTTCTTTTTACAAAAGATCTTCTTTTTCAAAATTGCATTCGAGGACCTCAATAAGGTCAATTTTGCATAAAGTAAGGTCCATTTAGCAATATAAAAATATTACAAATTTATAAATAAATAAAAAAAGAGTGAATAATTTCAACATTATGAAATTTGAACACAAAGTATGGGTAATGGTTGAGAAATTGAAATCACCACTTTCCTTGAGTGGACCACTGACATGTCTACTACTAAAAAGGTCCTCCTATAGTCCTAATATGATTTAAAAAACGACTATATTTATTTCCGTTAAATTATAAAAAATATTTTTAAATAATTTTTTTATTTAAAATTTTGTAATATTAGCTCGAAGTTAAATGAAGAATATAAATATATGACTGTGACTGTGACTTAGAACGACACGGTTGTATTCTATATTAAATTTGAATTAAAAACTAAAAATATTTAGACTTCTAACACATTTTTTACCTGCAATGTTGGAGAACGGTGAACTTCGACTATCCAACCCCAAACGATAAAAGGTTTAGTTAGGTTAGTTTCTAAAAATTATGGTAACCCGTTAACATTTTTTTAGTTGGGTCAACTTGATCCACTCGAAAGTAGAGTCACAATCCCACCATATTTCACTATGCTTTTAAGATTATTACGAAAATTAAGAATATTTGGCATTTATAATAAAAAATTTATTAGATTTTAGTTATTAATATAATTTTTTTAAATAGTTATAAAAAAAATAACCGGACTACACAATCCAACCCAACTCGAAAACAGAAGGTTATGTTTGGTTGGATTGGTTGCTGGATTCACTACTTCAATTAACTCAATCTATATAAATATGACCACCCTCCGAATTCGATAATTTTAATACTCATTAATTTAATTTTTGAGACAATTTATTTATATTTCTTGAAAAATAAATTGTGGATCGAATAATTGAAGGGAGGACAACAACTCAGCAATCAAAAGCACTTTTGATAAAAACTCCTCTCCCAAAGTCATCCATATCCTCCATTTTATAAAAGACTATAATTTATAATTTTATTTCACTTATTATTATTTTAATTCAGTTTAAATTTCCAAAAAAATTATTAAAAAAAATATATTTTTAACTAATTAAATTTTATTCATATCGATTTATTGCTCTAAAAAAAACCAAATATTTGAATATTTCATGGTTAAAAAAAATTATTTTGCAAAAAAATTAGATTTTTAAAGAAAACTAATTAATCTAAAATATTTCAAATAATTACAAAAAGAAAAAAGAAAAATAGGTGTGAGCTGGCATAAAACTGAAACAATATGATAACTTCGTAGATCCATGGCATCAAGCAATCCCATATTTATGATAAAGCGAAATGTCGAACCCACCCCCATAATTTCCATATATTTTATTTTCTCAATTTCATTATTATTTTAATCCATGTCATCGACAGACACGAATGTCGGGTTCGTTCGCTCAGGTGGTCTTCCCTTATCTTCCCTAATGTTCAGAGTTGTTCTGGTTTGAGAAAGGAGCACGCACTTCCACGACTACGCTTCACTTATGCACCGAAAAAGATCGTCGATAGGAAAGCTCTGTCGACTCATACATATGGTCTCGATTACGAGGAAGCCCTTATTTACTCCACCCGATAGCCAATCATATTAGCATTGTGAGATTATTAAGGACTAGACTGACAGAATTTAACAACATATATTAAGATTAGAATGCACCCGTACAAGTTACCCATAAGTTTAGCAATATCTTAACATTATTAACGAAATCTAAGGATACATAATTTAAAAAGAGTCTCGTTAGAGCTAAATATTTAACTATTATAAGTTGCGAGCTACAAACTTAGTAAAACCCGAGATAAATACACGCTTAATTTTATTTATTTATTAAATATGATTATTGACACGTGAGGACATTTAACTTGAGATCCACGTGGTGCGAAATAATTGGTTTTCGTAAAATACATGGAAATTATATATATATATATATATATAATTGAAATATTAAAAAATTCTTCATTCGTGCTTGTGGCCAAGCTTGAGAGCTTTGGGCCTTTCCTTCGCTTTTGTGAATGGAAAGCCGAAAGTGGGTTTTGGGCCGTAAAACATCGAGGCCCACTACGTTTATATATCTTAAATTTAACTATTAAAATTTTAATTTAATTTTGGTTTATACATCTTAAATTTTAATTTTTTTTAAAAATTTATTTCGTGATAAATCTTAATAATTGATTTTAATACAATTATATAAACATTTAGTCAAACGTGTATTCTAAAAATCAAATTTGTATATTATAAAAATAAGTTATATTAAATGAGATACAGTGAGAATTTTATATTATTATAATAATTTATTAATAATATTCCGTAATTTGATTTTATTTCATTATAAGTATATTAGATATAATATGAAATATTTTTAATTTATTTAGTTGTCATTATTAATAATTATTTTTAAATAAATAATTTTAATAAAAGTATATAAAAATAGTTAGTATGATCATCCAATTAAATAATAAATAAGCATAAAATCAAATATAGAGGGGAGCAAATGATAATATGATAATAATAAAAGTAAATTATAAAAATATACAATATATAATATACTTGTGTGAAATATAAAATTTGAACTAACAAAATTGGTCAAATACGACTTATATGAACTAAGGTCTTTTTAAATTTAGTTATTATTATTATATAATTTAAAATTAGTTTTTTATATTCCATAAAATATCAAT